CCGGCACGAGGGCCTGGTGCTGGCGGCGCCGCGGCAGCCGCTTCGGGGGGCTGGCGCTCCCTTGGGGCTCCCTTGGGGCCGGTGCTTCCTTGGTGGTGGCCCCTTCCTTGGTGCCGGAGCTCCCTTGGTGCTCCCTTGGGGCTGGCCCCTTCCGTGGTGCTGATGCTTCCTTGGGGCTGGAGCTCCCTTGGGGCTTCCTTGGGGCTCCCTTGGTGCTTCCTTGGTGCTGGCACTTCCTTGGCGCTCCCTTGATGCTGGTGCTCCTTTGGGACTGGTGCTCCCTTGGTCCTCCTTGGTCCTCCTTGGTGCTCCCTTGGGGCTGGTGCTTCCTTGGCACTTCCTTGGTGCTCCTTTAGTGCTTCCTTGGGGCTCCCTTAGTGCTCCCTTGGTGCTGGCACTTCCTTGGCGCTCCCTTGATGCTGGTGCTCCCTTGGGACTGGTGCTCCCTTGGTCCTCCTTGGGGCTCTCTTGGTGCTCCCTTGGGACTGGTGCTTCCTTGGTGCTGATGCTTCCCTGGGGCTGGCGCTCCCTTGGTGTCCCTTGGTGTCCCTTGGCGCGCACTCGCCCCTGGTTTGCACTGAGGAGCGTCAGGGATGGCGCCGAGGGGGCCGCATCCCGCCCTTTAGCGGGAATTACCTGGCAGCTCCAACGGAGCCGCTGGCGCGGGCGGCAGAGATAAAGGTTGGGGTGCAGAGGCAGGTTAGGAGGCTGGGACACCTGGAGAGGGAAGCGGAGCCGCGAGCGGGCGGCTCGACAGCAGCCTGCAAAACATGGAGACCGGTAGCCTTCGGGAATGCCGGGAATGTCGGGAACACCCGGAGCATCCGGCCTCCGCATCCAGGGCGGGCAAAGAGCGGCCAGGAGGGCCAGAAAAGCCGCTTGGAGCGGGCACGTGGAAGGGAATGTGGCAGGGGAAGGGGAAGGGGAGGGGGAAGGGGAAGGGGAAGGGGAATGGGAAGGGGAAGGGGAAGGGGAAGGGGAAGACACCCCCTTGTTTGGTTGGGGGCCAGGCCTTCTCCCTGCATCTTTTGGTATAATAAAGACAAAACTTCCACTTATTATCAAAGGGGAAAAAAACCACATTTAATAGGGGTGCTTGCGGGGGCTGCGGCACAGGCAGAGCGGGGATGCCGGCTCCCAGGCTCGGGATAGCGTGGGACAGCGGGAAAGCGGGACAGCGGGAATGCTGCCCGTCCTTCCCCCACGCCAAGGAGGGCCTTTTTCCATGGATTTCTGCCCGTTTCCTCCTGCCCAAGGGGGCTCTGCACCGGGACAGCAGCAGCCGGGACACGAGGGGACGGAGGCACCCGGGCGTCCCTGCCGGCAGCACGGGGAGAAGGGCTGCACTGAGCCCCGACACACTCGCTGCACCGATGGCCCCCGGGGGCCCTGGTGGCTGCCAGGCTCCATCCCCGCCTGTGTCCCTATGTCCCCTGTCCTCGTGTCCCCTTGCCCCCGTGTCCCCCATCCTCATGTCCCCTCTCCCCGTGTCCCCATGTCCCCTTGCCCCCTGTCCCTGTGTCCCCTGTCCCCATGTCCCCTTGCCTCTTCCCCTTTTCCCCATGTCGTGTCCCCATGTCCCTGTGTCCCCTTGTCCCTGTCCCTGTGTCCCCCCCGTCCTCGTGTCCCTGTGTCCCCCGTCCTCATGTCGACTTGTCCTCATGTCCCTGTGTCCCCTGTCCCCGTGTCCCCCCATCCTCGTGTCCCCCCATCCTCGTGTCCCCGTGTCCCCCTGTCCTCGTGTCCCCCTGTCCTCGTGTCCCCCGTCCTCGTGTCCCCGCCCCCCGGCCCCGCCCTGACGTGACTCCGCCACGCCCCCAGGTGGAACCTTCCTGGCGGCGCCCCACACCATAGAGGCGCGGGACGGCACCACGGGGCAGCCCGCCTGGGGGGGGGGGGAGCTGTCTGCGCAAAGGAAAGAGACTTTGTCCCCCAGGAAAACCTGGAAGGAAATGGCGCTCTGGAATTCGCGTCCCCGAGGGATTTAGTTTGGAATCCTGTCGCTGTGGGCGCGCCAGGCTGTTCGCTGCTCCCCTGTCAGCCCAGGCTCCCCCTATTTGGTCTCCCGGATGGTACTTTCCTCCCTGTTTACTCTTTTTGCGCGGCCAGCTTGGGTGGGGCCGCTTGGCTGCTCCGCTTGCGTACGCAAGTGGCGTAGGGCGGCTTTGATGGACAGCGGCGTTCGGCCAATGGTAGGGCGAGAGCCCCTGCAGGCGCGCCAATGGCGCGGCGGCCCGGCAGGCGGGCGGAGGCGGGGCGAGGTTCAGTGAGGGCAGGGAGGGGGAGCGGCGGAATGGCGGGTGGCCGGGCTGTCCCGCCCGGCTCGTAGCGGGCCGAGGCCGCCGGAGCAGGGAGTCCGCGGAGCGGGGTGAGTGCGGGAGCGGGCGGGGGCGGCCCGGCGCCCGCCGGCGCCACGGGGAGCGGCGGGCCGCGCTGGGCTGGGCTGCGAGGCCCTTGCCAAATAGTGAGCCATAGCGGTGAGCCGGGCCGTGTTTCCTGCTAGATAGTGATCGCTATGGGCCCCGGCGTCCCGGGGAGGGGGAGGGGAATGTCCGCGTCGGGGCCGGCTCCGGTGCCGCCGCTCGGCGGTGTCGGGCTGGGCCAGGGCAGCGTCCCCGCAGGCGCCGCTCCTTCCCCGGCCCCGGGGCTGCAGCGCCCGCGGCGCTGGCGAGGCCCTACCGAGGGGCCCGGGCGCGCTGGCCGGGCGGCATCCCCAAGGAAGCGCCCGCTTCCCGCGGACCATCCCCTCGGGGATCCGCGCGAGCCCCTTGGCCGCCCGCTGGCCGGGCACCTACATAAAGGCGAAGCTCCCCAAGGTAGGCCCGTGCGGGTGCGTGTGCTGGGCAACGTCCCCCCTAATAGCAAATCCCCAGGCCCTGTGTGTGCAGGAGCTTCGGGGGGCGTCACGGGCGGCTGGGGACTCGGTCCAGCCTGCTGACCCGCCTGCAGCCTCAGGCCCCATTTCCCTCGGTGTCCCCAAGCTTGTCCGTGTTCCTTGGGGACGCCAATGGCAAATGTCCCCCGGAGAAAGGCAGGATGTTGCTCCTCCCTCTCGGCTCTTGTTTGACCTTAAAGACCTTCCTGCAATGGGTGTTTTTTTCTGCTCGGAGTTTGAGCTTGATATTACGGTTTTATTTCCGTTAGTAGCAGCAGACTTGGGAGTCGCAGCCTAACTAGAACTGCTATTGGGACTAGATGGTATCTTAATGCCAAGAGCCTGCCTGTTCAGTAACACAACAGAAAATACTGAGGGTCTAAGACTCCTAGCACTGCAGATACTAGTGAGTATGAAAAGACATTAACACTAATAGGGAGCTTTAATAAGTGCACCTGCTGTAGATGAGGCCATCATTTATCAAACCTCCTGTAACTTGTATAACTTGCATGTTCTTGCGTCTTCCCTCAGCCTGGGAAATCTTCTGAGGGTGGAAAAGTTGCAGAAGATGTGACAGGGCAGCAGTGTGTGTTTCCCCATGACAAAACTGACGCAAAATGCTGCTTTCTGGGAAGTATTAAAGCATGTGTGCTCGGTCACATGAGGAAGAGGAATAGATGTGTTTTCCTCTAGTTTTAAACTCAAGTCCGTTGAATGCTTAGGTTGCTAGTAAGAGCTGCAGGGATTTATGTGCTGGATTGCAACACTCTTCCCTAGGAATCCTGATTGGCCTCTTAGTGACCTTGTCGTAGGTATTAATACAGAGTTTAATCCAAAACTTAGTTAAAAGCAAACCAAAACCAACATTGACCAACGAAAACCACAGGCAATGTTGTTGATAGGTTGACTTGGAAAATGCGCTTGCCCTCACAGCCAAGGACAGGCTTCGTCCGGCCAGGGACGGTGGAGCAGGTCAGAGACGTCATAATTCTGTGCTTTTATTTTCTTTTGTAAGGAGTGTGCTTGAAAATGCAGGGTTTGAATGAAACAGCCGGACTGCAGCCTCAGGGGTGCCTGTAGTTCCAACCTGTGCGCTGGTCACACTGGGCAGCGTAGGCTGGTGACAGCAGGGATCAGACCCAGACTCTGTGGTTTCTGGAGGCACTGGTGGGTGCCCTGTTAAAAGGCTGCCTTGAGCCAGGGCTGAAGGGCAGGCGCTGTGGGTGCCCTGCGTGGCCCAGGTGGGTCAAAGCGAAGCTCTGCTGAACGTGACGCGCGTTGGGTGCAGGATGTGGATGTAGGACACGACCTTCCAAGGTTGAGCCTGCTGTAAGCCGCTTCCCAAAGTGCGCCTTTTCACTGCTTTAACCAAAAGAAACTTGATTGTTTATCTTGTAACAAATTCAAGAAGCAAATGTCCCAAATTCCACACTAAAAAAAAGAAAAACCCCTCCCGGTGGCTCATTAGACTCCTTGCTCTCCAAAGCCCTGCAGAGGGGCCTTTCTAAGCTCTGCTGCTCAGTTTTCCCGAGCCGCTGTGCTCTTACCTTCCCAAGAGCCTCGTTTAACCGCTCTCTTCTCACCCCCTAGCCCACGGAATCCCACGTGCGGGGCTGAAAGCAGAAGTTTGCTCCTACCTGCTCCTCGGTTGTAGGTTGGCCCCCCCCGTTTCTTGCTTTCGCATCTGCCTTTGCATTCCTGACATCTTTCAAGCTCTGGCTTTGCAAAGCTCTGCTATGGGGAGAATGCAGGCCAAGGGTTTAGGAAACAGAAGCAATACGATGTGTTTATAACCACTCTGTTCTGCACATACCCTACTTGAAATGTGTTATTAAAACTTAAACCGGTGGCTTATTGAAGAGAGAGAAGCCCAGACCTGGAGCCCTGTTTTCTTTAGAGATGTCACTGCTGGAGTTTGAGGTAGTGAATTAATAATCAAGTGGTGATGTGGCTTTCTGGCTTTGCTCCTTCACCTCGGAATAATCCAACACACTGAACAGAAATGCTGCATTTCTTTGCGTTACCGTTCAGAGCGTGTTTGTGAGCAGCGTTTTATTAAGGACCGTATAGCCTTTATTAAAATTAGCAGCCCAGTTTCTCAGCGTGCTTTGAATGTGCCTCATCCGTCAGGGCTGGTCTAGGAAAAGTTGATTTCATTCACAAAGCTTAGATAATCTCGCAGCGTGGGCGGAGGGGTTAAAACATTGCAGTGCTTGCTTCATATGCATATAGTTACATCGGTAAATCCATCTCCTGAAGATTTTTTTGGAGGTGGAAGAACAAAGAAGGTTGTGGGGATTAATGTTTCCACAAAAATTAGGTTAGCTTTTTTGACAGACTGTAATAAGAAAGACTCCAACAAGTGTAAGTCTCATCTTTAATCCTTCAAGATAGCTTCTCTCCGTGGATATTCTGCACTCGAACATCCAATCAGTTTAAATGTAAGGTCTGTTGTGTCTGTGCCTTGTATAATGATAGTACCTTGGTCGTTAAGTTGAGCAAAAGGCATTGCTGCGTATGCTGCCTGTGTCGTAAAAATGGTTGAATAACCATTTTAGGTGCTTGCATGTATACAAGTCATGTGTAATCTTCTTGCTGTCTTCATATAGAATGGGATGGGAGGACTGTGTTTAAAAAAAGAAGAAGAGAGAAAAAAAAGCATTGCTGACAGTTTCTCTTGAGGGTTAAAAGGGCCAAAACCAGCCAGTCTGATGACTCAGTACCAAATTAGTTCCTTTATATAGTTTCTAAAACTTGTTCCTTTATATACTTTCTAAAATTTGTTCCCTTATGTAGTTTCTAAAAGAGAGCTGTAGGGGTATAGAATGCACAGGAGGCCAACTAGAATTGAAATCATGCTTCTCTGATGCTTTCCCTGTGCTGAAATTTAGGAAAGCAAAAGACAGCTACTTTCCCCCCCAGAACAGCTCGCTGTCTGCGATGTTTTACTGTTTCCAGCAGCACTCTTGCTTTTAATGAAGCTTGTAGAAAGAAATTGTGTATTTATATTGAATATTTATTCTCACTGCACAAGCATAAATATTTGCGTGAGCCAGGCCCTTAGTTAGCAGAAATTAACATTTATTTATATATTTTTAGGTATTTATAAACACTGGATTTAGAGCAGAGGGGAAACATTGTGGAAATGCTTTATGGGTGATAAGCAGATGACTGCTCGGGACAGAACCGCCCTGTTGGGATTTACTGCCTTTATACTTCTGCAAGAGTAATAAAAAAGCTGGATATTTCCTTTTAGCCTGATAGGCAACTTGCACGGCCGATCAGGCTTCCTTGGAATAATAAGAGCTTCTGCAGAAGGTTACCTGGCTCGGGTTTGGTTCACATTTGTACCGGTTAGTCCTTCCACCTGAAGACCTGTAGGATTTTAATGTCTTTTTTGCTTTTGTGATAGGCAGGTCCCTTCCCCGAATAGCTGCGACATGAACTTGCATTTCTGCACAGCGGTGTGTGGCGTTAATCACATTCCCAAGTCCCAGACTTGCTGTAGGGTAGTAATAGGACTGGGAAATAGTTCCTCAAGACCCTTCCCTAATTCCTGGCATGACGGCCGAGCTTCCCGGTGTTGCATCTGTGCTCGGCTGTGCGTGTGCCCAGGCTTTGCTCTTGTTTTAGAGGGGACCCATGAGTCCCTGCAGGGCTTGGGGACGGTGACAAGCCGTAACGCCGATGGGGAGGAGAGGCTGTTTGCCTGCTGGTGCTCAAGTGCTTCTGCCTTAGCTTTGCGTGCTCATAGGTGCCTCTTCCCATGCGGTTGTGTGTGGAACCTCTTCCTGGCCGTGTCCTTGCACGAACGGGATCACTAGTGACCTGCTCTAGTCCCCTGAGATGCTCTGTAGCCTCCTCCTGTCTAGGGGTGCCCCTGTCCCCGTGCCCGGGACGAGTGGTGCCTCCGCAAAGGAACCCAAATCTTCTGTTGTGCGGTAGCCACACAACCTGCTTCTCGGGAGGTGCGCGTTTAGTATGGATGGTGGTGCATTTATGTGAGCGATTCCTTTGTGAAGCAGAGACCTACTTCTTTCCACACCTGGAGTTGAGATTGGTATCTCCTCATTGTAAAATGCAGGGCACCAAAGGAAGTGCCTTTTAACGTAGGTACGATAAATATTGAACATGCTGCCCCAAGGGTGCCAGCAGCTTGGATAAGTTCAGCAACTGAGACAAAATTCGCGAGAGGGAAATCCATAAAGGACAATTAAAAATGTTTGTTTCAAAGTGGCCTTAAGGTGTAAATTGCTACTGAGTGGGAAAGAGGAGAATTGTCACCTATATTTGCCATGTTCTTGTGCTCTTTAAGCATCTGATGTCTGTCTGCTGGTGCAGAGGCCTCTGGTTTAACCAGAGGTTGGACAGAGCAGCAGCCCTCTTGGTCCTGCTGCCGAGGCCGAAGGCTTCCTCTTGTTGAGCTGCTGGCGTTCTGTACGATGGCCCAGAGTCACCCAACTGTTTTGAGTCTCCATTTCTGCCCGCTCATA